CGCGATCAATCCGTCCGCGGATTAGTCTGTCATGTGAATCGGCCATTATCAAAGAGCTGCAAACGATCCACTAAAACTTCCTAACATCGACACCCACCCTTGTTGCCCTTTCAACTCATGTGGTTGTTGGGATGTATAGATATACATTTCATCCACATTTCGTTGGCCATCACATCCTGTGAGTAAAGCCTGTTTCACATGCAGCGATTGTGAAAAAAATCGGTGCGACAGGCAACGCAGCGAGTGCGATCACAATGTTTGGTTTCACATGCTCCAACAACCGCGCAATTCTTGTCGACGCGGACGGCTCTTTGGACACGGTTGCGTCGCATTTGACTTTGCCTAAAATACAACAAAAACGTCTTAATAAACACAGATGTTTTACGAATACAATGCGTAACTAGAAATTTATAATAATTAAGCATCCAACCAAAAGCTTTCAGGTGTCTAAATTTATTTTGAATACGTAGCAATCACAGATGAAAGCTGGCTAATTAACGGCTGGTTGACGAGCAAGCGATAGCACGGACTCTGTGACAAAACACCAACTTTGTGGAAACAAGCCACAGAGCTGCTGCGACAGCGCGACTCCGGTAGTATATTTACTGGAAATCGCACTGATTTCGGACGAGAATCGCAGCATGTGAAACAGCCGTTAGGCACAGAATAATTTGTGCGCGCCCTACGAAAACAGAGATCCGCTAAGATGCCCGCACCTGGTACACATTTATCTTTTCCATCATATCACCATTTGAGGCAGGTTTGAGCGTGATAGGCTGGCGTTTTGAGGATGCTAAATGTTTTGGAAACATATAAATCATTGTTAGATAGTAAAACCACCACATCTTGCCCCTGCATTCTGCACTCCTTATTTGAGAAAGCGAGAATAAGCATGAAAAGTATGTTCAATTGGTGTGGGGATGCATCACAGCATTCCAGTAAGCATTTACTTTGCCACAGGCTACAGCCAAACAATTTTGACAACTCAAATAGGTGACTGCCAGGGTGCAGCCTTCCAGCTTCGTAATGCATTACCCCGGAAGGCTAGGATTTGCGAGGGGCCAAAAATCCTGCTTATCCTAGGCTTATCCTCTTAGAAGAAGCCGGTACAACAGGGAACCTTCCAACCTTCCTCCCTGCCTCGCCAAGCAGTTAGACAAAAGGGAAAGGGCAAAAAAGAGGGCGAGGAGGACTTTCCGCCAGGCGGAAGAATATTTCTGCTGGTCCCTCTTTAACAATCAGCACCGAGAACCGAAGCTTGAGGCGTCCTATTCTCCCGCACCAATCCAGTGATTTCGATTTGGCTTTCTTCACTCCTCTCCGCAAAGACACAACTCCGTGGCAGAAGATATACTGTATCTTCCGGGCTGTAGTCCGCACAAACCAATTTCTGCTCGAAATAACGAGTTTTTCCGTAAGTTGCCCGTACCCGGCGTGCACTGCGTATGTAAAAGTTGGTCCGAGACGGCCCATCTCGAAAAACGTTCGCTTTATAAGCTTGCAAAGAAGCTAGTATCGTACAGAAAATCACCATCAACAAAATCTGCCATTCTCAAATTCCGTCGCACCTCATCAGAATGAAAAATCTTGAAAGAACCAATTTCTGTATAGCCCGTATGGTCTGCCGAACTTAGTCTAGAAAATATGGTCGGTAACCAAGCGGTTCCTCGACGGACACCATGCTCCATATTTACTGACAAGATCGGCAGGGTGGCACTTCAGTTGCCTCCAGCGCCACCTTCCGACCTTCGACGGTGCTTGAGTGTCTCGTGAGCTTGGAGCATGCATGAGCAGCCAAAGCAAGGCGGAAAGCAAGGAGAGTGTGCAGGGGGACAGGAATCGGAAAGAAATTCTCATTCTGAACAGTAAAGGCGTGTCCAAATGGGGAAGGGCTGTGTCCGAAATCTGGCCCAAATAGGTCTGAGCTACTCTGCAGCGGGTCGTGCCGCATAGTAACGTGGATAGAGTGACGCTGGACACGGGGAGGCTTTCGAACACAAAAGTACAAAACCGTTACCCTGGAGTAAGATGTAGTAAATTTTGGAACATGACCAAAGATACGAGGGCCCGGCGGAACGGACAGACAGCATTGGCAGTTGGCTCGCGACGTCAAGCCTGACGAGCATGGAGGCCACCGAAAGGCGGCGGAAGCGAGGAGGAAAATCGTGACGCTTGCTCGGTGCTGTTCTAACAGACATCGGACTGTCGGATGCTTCAACTTCCACGATTTCTGACAAAGTCACATTGCCTTACGGTTTTTCCAGTATCCTGTATGGACAGGCCTTCACTCGACCACTCTGCAGTCAAAAATAAAGTTTTCTCAAGTTTTGTAACTTTCATAACTGATGATGGTGCAATTAGCTGTTTCGTCTGGTCATAGTATCTTCGTGAGAGAACGCTTGAGACTGAAAATTTTGATTTTTGGTCGGTAACCAACCTGTTTCATGAATATTTTTAGCTGATCACCCACGAGCATGATTTTGGGAGGACACACCGTTACGAGTCAAATAAGTCCAGCTAAGGCACGTTTAACAAGAAAATAACAATTTTTTTCCGAGGCTATGTTTTGCTCACTTAAAAAAGCCCTGCAATCATATCTAAGCGTCTACCTTTTCTGCGGTTTCCACGTCCCTCAGGGTTTGGGCAAGCCAGCAGGCACAGAGAGAGTAACTAAATATCAGTGCGTCATATTTTAACCGGATGACGCGGAAACCTCCTCCACCTATATGGGCGACCTGCGGTGTGGAAAGCGCACGATATGCGACGTCTTAGGTCCTGGGCTTACTACTAGTCAAAGCCGCTAAAAGCTTCTTTTTTGTTGAAATACAAAATATAAGTGACGCAAACCATCTCAATTATTTATAAAAGTAATTTTTGCTCACTATTTTAGATCAGAAAAGAAGCAAATGCAGTTTAGAAAGTACAGTAACAAAAAAAACCCGTCAACACACCCGCCGCCAAGCGGTGGAAAAGGCGGCGCATACTAGAAAGGTGTAGTGGGATTAGGCATAAACGAGCGGCCAGCGTAGAAAGGTCCCAGATGTACGCGGTGGCGCTGCAGTCGTACGAACTGGAGGATTCGACCGGTTCAGAGCGTTTTCAAGGCCTTCGGCGAGCAGCTTTGGCTTGCGGTTTGGCCCTTTGGTGGTATGGCATGTCGAAGTGGCTCCCGTTCTGAACTGATCTTGACCCCGTGTTTGCTGTCATTTGTGGCCAATGAAGGTCATGCCGAATTAGTGTTTAATCGCGCAGCAAATGCAATGCGAGCCGCCCCGTCTGCCCGCTTCATACAGCCTAGCCAGAACATGCTTTAGTGGCGCCCTCTCGAGCCGTCGACAGAGTTCGGCAGCTGTGACCGCTCGCTGAGCTCACTACCCCTCTTCTAGTTCACGGCAACTCAAGCAACCAAGGACGTCATGAAGCAGGTTTTTTTTTTCTTGTTTTTGTAATTTTAATTTGCCTATACCTTTTAAAATACAGGAAAATTCGAGAAAAGAGAGGTTTCATTAAATTACTACGTTCAGTGCGCTCAGGTTCGGTGCAAATTAAAAACCAGTAAAAAAATTCCCTGTGGGGCCCCTAAGGGGATACTTTAACAAAATTTGAAATATACCCGTCGTGTTCAAAAATAGGTTGAATATCCGCACACGACAATCGCACGTTTGTTTCTTGAGCCTGGTGGCTGTATTTTTCGTTCTAAACGGCCCTCTGGCAAGCATTCGGAGAACAGCCAGCGGAGACCATGCGATATCCAACGCAATCGTGACGTAGTTCGTCTCGGGACGAGCAAAGCTACGGAGAGACTGACGTCGAGAGGATGGCCTAGTCGTTCCAGCTACCGAGGTGACTGCTTTTGTATGAATTTTGAGTGACGAATTAATCTTCTATAATCTTGTAGAGGGACAATAACGACTTCTGGGTCACACAAAAGGGATTCTCGGGAACAGGGGAGTTCCTCCTTCCCTTCTTCTCTCGTCATGGCCAAAGGCGAGACAGTTACCGTCATTACCTCTCAAGGTTCCTAGACGGGTGTTACAAACGAGGCGTTAGCGACACCCACCAGGTGTCCTTTGCTAATCATTTAATTCGTCTTAAAATTCCATTTGTGACTTTTTTAACAAGAGATTGGTGTGTTCGATGTAATACTGCTCTTTTGGACATATAGACCAAAAAATAAGCGCCGAAATTTCGTTGTAGTATTTCTTTAAACGGAACTCTGGGGACTACTTTGAACATTTACATGTAGGTTTTAAAAAGTCACGGAAATGACGTAATGGCGTCTGATTGGTGGAGGCAATTGGTTCCAACAATCAGACGCCATCAGTTCGCTTTCGTGACCTTCTAAAATGTGCATGTAAATGTCCAACCTAGCCTCTCTCGTACACAGGTGACTAAGCAGTTTCTGGGGCCAAAAAAGGCGGGCCGACTAATTTAGAATTCAACCTCAATATAGTTACGGTTAAACGTGAAATCAATTCGTTAATTTCCTTTACTTGAGACACAGTTTGCTGAAACTTGGAGCGACGAGCTATGTAATGTATTTTCTTTCTTTTTTAGGTTGGGGAGGAGGGAGTTGGGAGAGCGTATGTTTACGGCAGGACTCTGCAGTATGGTTTTGTATGACGTCCACGAGAACTCTTACACAAACAGCTGTTTGCATCAACGGAGCGTTGGGCTGAGGAGCGGGAAAACAGTAATAAAAGTGCGCTCTTTCTTTTTAGTCATTAAACACACCCAACTAGACAACGAAAACCAGAACACAAAGCTGAAACGGCCGCTCGGCACGCTCCAGTCATCTTATAAAAAGCTGGGAGGCCGTTCGCTTCGTTTTCGATACTACCGAAGCATATCAAGCAGCGGGAATGTTTTGTATTGGGAAAGATGCGGGCACCATTGGAGCAAAGCGAACCGATAGATCGATGTTGAGATTGCTCCAGTCGTCGAACCGAGGGCGAGAATATGAACGCAATAAATCATGCACAACAAAGATAGTTTCTCACCTGATCGAATGCAAGAATCCGGTGCAGCTCTCGGCCGAGTATTTCAACGGAGAGCGCTCATAGAGGCCAGCCTGTGACAGCTCGAAATTACAGCCATCTTTGGCCGCGGGATACGAGAGCGAGGATTAGGTGAGTGCGTTTGTTTACTCGGGTGTCATGACCCCAGTGCCTGCGGTGTCTGCCGTGTCTGCAGTGCTTAGGCTTAGGGTTAGTAGAGTTAGAGCACTATATAGCTCCTTCGGAGCAGAGTAGCGCAATCTAGAACGCCGCCTCTCGGCGACTAGCGGCGAACGCCCGGAGGTTCCAACTGCGGTCAGAAATGCATGGAGAACGTGAGAAAATCGTTGTTTCTTCAGTAATGTGGGAATGTACGGAATGGCAATCGTTTTTGACATAATAATGGAACATTTTAGAATAATTTGCGCTAAGTTTTGTGCCCCGAAAGGACCTGACTTTTTTTTAAAAATTGCTTGAGCGGCATCATGCAGCAGACGACACGGCGACGTCACACCAGTCACGTGACCCGCTCTGGCCAACCCGAAAAGCCCATCTCCGCTGCGAGCAAAAATCGTCTGCTTCAAACGCCATTGCCTCGGAAATTGCCTTCTCAAAATTTGCACACGCATCCGATATTATTAAAACTTTGATAAAGTGTTGAGTGCTTTACTAACTTCACGACAGGCTAGTTTTGAAAAGTGTGAACTCGCCGTTCATTTTTTAGTCAGCCGTGTTGTATCGATCTCCATGTATTCTCCCATAGGGCGGGCCGCCTCCTGGAACCCTGAGTACCACGTGACTCGCGCCGAGCCGCTCTGTCGGCCATGTTGTCGGCAAAACACGGAGTTCAAAGGATTGCGCTACTCTGCTCCGTAGGAGCTATATAGTGCTCTAAGTAGAGTTACTCTGCAGTGTTTGGGTCACGTGATACCAATCGTTATTAACCACGCTAAACAAGTATAACACAAGAGTATCAGTTTTCATTTATCACTCAACAAAAAAGGTCGCATAATTTAAAGTGAAGTTATAAAATCAGACCAATAGAATCGATTCGCCCAACCAGGGGGCGCTTCGAAATTGCGATGGTAGCGCCACCGCAGTACAACACATGGTCGTGTAGCGTCGGTCGTGTTCGTAGCGTTGCATTAGCGTCGCAGGTGTTTCGAGCGTACAGTGAGGATTTAGAGAGGGATAGAAAGCGTGCGAGAATTATTTCTCATGATGAATCAAGAAACGATAGAGAAGCTTCAATAACACGCATCTTCCACCGAGAAAGCGGTTGATTTCCCCGCCAACGAGTCGGGTCCGCCTCGCAAGTACGGCCGTGCCGGCCGTGCGGCGTCTACGAGATAACTTTACAGGTGAGCGTCCCTTGTTTAAATTTTGCGCTGTAATAACATTGTGCCTTTAAGATTACTAATCACAATGAACCACTGTTCTCGTGAGTCCTGTTAGACGACGTCGGGATACTATTTTTCGGTCGCTGAACCACCGGCAGACTACGTTCTCGCACTAGAGGCTACGAGTGGGATAGCTTTTCGGGCTCACCCACGTCGAAGAAATATTAACGTGTCGGGGATCGTGCGGGCATAGGGTGATAATTCCGGGAAGAGATAAGTCCCCCGCCTACAGTTGAGACTGCAGGTCCTCGCTGGGCTGGAGTCGCGGACCGGTGCGAGCATTGTGCCGACGCTCGTAATTTTATTAGTATTGTTGAACACGCGTCCTCATCAGCCTGCCTCAGCAGTAGGGAACTAAAACGACAGGGCACGACCTGAACAAAGGCCTTGTAGATTTATTACCAGGTTTTTTTGTCCCACTTCACTGAGGCATAGGTTGCAGTTACTGGGGACCTGCTCCTGCTGATTAATGGTACTTTTTCTGCGAGTTTGAGCAATAATGTGCAGCGAGATTCTGTCAGAAAGAGCGGCAAAGCAGTTGAAAACGAAACGAGGCTAGCCTAGACTAAATCTCCAGCATAAATGTCTGCTATGCATGTGACTGCACATAATTTTAGTCGAATTTTCGTTACAATGTTCAGTTGGATGGATTTATAAAAAAAAACTTCATTTCTCTTTCAGGTGCAAGTTGTCCAGTCCACATGCAAGATTTTCAAATATTGGGTGGGGGCTTGATTCATACTTTACTGTGTGGGACATTTTAGGAGGAAAATGTTGTGTAGCAAAGAAAACACCAGTGACACATGATAGGTTGTCATTAGTAGATCAATTTTTATTTTCTGGAAAAATAATCCATGCCTGCAAGTGTTTAATTGCTGCTTCACTGAATAAAGTTTCTTTCGTGGCATGTTGGCATGTTTTCGAGCGTTTCCAGGAATGTACCGTATTATCCGGGCAATACTTTTAAAAGCTGAAATTTTAGGCTGTGCAGACTATGCGAAATTTGTTTTTCAATATCGTTGATTATGATGAGACGAGACGGATTTTGTGAGAAAGATGTCTCCCAGTTCGTGAGAAAGCAGTCGTCACCTAAGCTTATCCATCTTTAGCCAAGCTATATTGAATCTTGGGGTACAGACTAAACCAAAACGTGCAACTCGAAGACGAAAGAGACTACAGAAGTTGCCAATCAACTAACGATACTTTTAACAGGCTAAGAACCAGGCACATATAGAGAATGCAAAATAGATGAACAAAGGTCACCTGTATCTTCGAGCGAGGGAGTGAAAATTAATTTAAATTAACTAAGAATCTTTCACGAGCAATTACAGGGTTGGTAGGTTCCCTGCATTTAGTCTTTATTAAACACCTCAGCTGGCATCTCGTCTAGTAACTTGTTGCAGGATGAGCCTCAGCGTTGTCCTTGCAGGTGTTCACGAAGTGCACGCTGCAGATCCTCGCTGACGTTGGCGGAATCACAACTGAACCGCCCCCACTGAAAAATAAATCAATAATATAAGATCTTTGGTGTGATCAGCGGAAAATCGACACGAATAGAAACTATTATTGCCTCTAGCAAGTACAAACGTAATCAGGCTTTCTTTTTATTTGGGGGGGGGGGGGGGGGGGGGGGGGGTATTGGCTGGCTGGCTGGCTGGTTGAGGCGGTTTGGAAGTGCATTCCTTGTGTGTGTTGTTTGGGAGGGGGGGGATGCATGTCTATATATTATAGCGTCGTACATGATGGCTATAAACAGCTAAAAAAACGTGAACAGCGATTAAGAAACACACACGGCAGAAGAAAGCTGCACTCGCAACCCCCAAAAGCCCCTCCCCTAGCTAGAAGTATGCTGACAAAGTGAAAAGGCAGGCAGGGCGCCCCTAGTGAACGGCCGAGCTCCAGCACGTCTCCGTTGCCCTTCGCTGCGATGTGGCTGCACGTAAACGCTCGCGAGATAGAAACCCTGTCGAAGGTTGGAAGCTAGTGCTGGAGGAACTGAAGCTTCTCCCTGCCGTTCTCACCCTGCCAGTGATTGTAGTTGAAATATTCGTGCCAAAGGGGTCCAACATCGCGACCGAAGCCCCGTCAAACACCTAGAGGGAAGCGACAGACGCGCACGAAAATCAAATATTCCGTCACGCAGGCACTGCCAACTGACTTTCCCGCTTTCGGTAGTCATTCTGTTTCTATTCTGACACCAATTCCATTTAGTTTTTCCCGCGTATTTAGCAAAACTGATCTTCCAACGAACGAGAAACTTACTTTTGTCGGAGCACCGACGTGGTCCAGGCTTGGCGCCGTTCGAGTCTCGCACGGCTTTTCAGGGGAGCGGTAGAATTTTAAGGATTGACTACAACGATATCGGAGGTTGTTGCTGCGATCAACAACGAAATATTTGTGCTAGCCGGGCTTTTATATCGTCTCTATCGCAATGAATGTTATATCCGACTGCCTACGACGGAGAAGCGAGGCGAAAAACAACGAGCCACTCGGATTCGGGCGTCCCGCCAGGGGCTGGAATGGCGCTGTAGTCAGCGGCGAAACTTGAGCGCTTCGGTCCTATGCATCAGTAAATTCGTGACGTCACGCAAATTAAAAGGAGTCGCTGCAGTGAACGTTATGGTCATAATTAGTACATTAGCGTATAATCATTAAGAATATATTACATTAATTCCACAAACTTACCATAATGACGTCAAATTACCAGCCGTTTGCCCCATAAAAAAACAAAAACAAAAACTCACAGACAGCGCCTCTGGCGGTCGACGTTCTTCTTTTTTTTTTTTTTTTTCTTTAATTTTAATGTTTAGTTTTTTCCGTGAGTGCGGTGAAGAGCTGGCAAGAGCTCGTTCTTTGCGTCGCTGGTGTTGCGTGCATTTCCTGCGGATGAAGTGAATGACTTCATCCGGTGAATCTGTGTGAGTGTGGGGTTTGGCCGTGCTTTTCTCTCCCGCGGTACCGACTCCGCCTCGTTCACGAAATAAGTTCCGCTTTCGGAAGGCATTCCAGCAGCGTTCGAGCGTTCAACGTAATCAGCTTTTACCCGCAGCCCTTGCCCGTAAGCGGTTGTCGTTGTCTCCGACATCGTTCCTCATTGCTGTCATCACCGCCGCCCATTGCCCCGAGGTAGCATTCCACGCTTGGTAGCTTCGAAGCTCGAAGACGGGAAACTTGACCAGTTAGCAGCACTTCTTCCGCAAGCGTTCCCTGTGTAACGACAACTTTCTCACTAAGTTTAACGCACTTTTTGTTGCTAATGTCGCGCTTGTAATGAATGGCGACATTTTTTGCTCATGGGAGTGGCAGCTACCACAGAAGGGCCGAGGCTTCAGTCGACTCTTTGTAGCCTACCTAGCAACTTATCAAGGACGGAACGCTTCAGTCGCTCAAGCTGTCGAGCCCATATTGAGTACCGCAGGCCTGTAGCTGAAATTTTTTTATTTAATCTTTCTTCCTCGTCGGTGTAGGTAGATTACCTTTCCGACCAGACGGCACCCGTATGGCAGCAGATCAACTCAAAATTTGCAAAGGGAGGGCTAGGATTGTCCCCAACTTTGTCGGGCCAGTAGGGACACTTGGCAGTTCGTATGCCATAGCTCACTTCGATCACGTAATTACTGAGTACGGGCCTGCAATCCGCACAGCACGATATCCCAAAATGCTCTATTGCCTTTCTGCGTGCCGAAGTGTCCGCGAGTTATTCTTCTTTCGTGCGATGTGTATACAGTTTCTGGTTTGCCCTAAAAGCCCGGCCGATCGCTCCGCTTGGAAGTTTCTCGTGCTTTCGTTCGCGGACGGACCGGCGATGTGTCACAGTCGAGGCCTAATGCAGCGTCCTCCTTCCGACTTGCGCTGTTTTCTTTTTTGGTCTCTTCAGAGGCCGAGGCACCAGCAGCCAACACAGCATGTCTAGCCGCAAGACCAAAGGGCGGGGCCCGACCAAGAAGCGCGCCCAGCGCGCGACGTCCAATGTCTTCGCCATGTTCGACCAGGCGCAGATCCAGGAGTTCAAGGAGGCTTTCAACATGATTGATCAGGACCGGGACGGATTCATCAGCAAAGAGGACCTCCACGACATGCTCGCCTCTCTGGGTGAGCGATACCGCCTTGTCATGCTCGGCGCCATTTCTTTCGGAGCCGTCTTTCGGTTAGATTTGTGTAGAGCTCACGCGCGTTTCGCGGGAGACTGCGGGTGACACATGTCCCGACGATTTCGTCCGAAATAAGGCGATAAAAAAAAAAATGGGACAAATGCCAAGTCGCCAAAGCTTTTCTCTTTCTCCCCTCTTGATCGGGGTGACGTCAGGGGCTAAGGATGACGTCAGTGAGTGTCGATCGCGGCGTGTTCTCCTTTGGATACTCTAGCGACTTACTTTGGACAGAAAATATTTATTGCTTTGGGGGTACACCCTCTTCCCAAAGTCGGTGAAGTAGCAGTTAAATTGTTACAGCCATGCCATTGCTGAATTGTTGCCACAGAAACGATGATAGCTACCGCTGATTGTAGCTGTTACGAGACTTTTCATGCCAATATTGTGACCACAAAAGCAATTATCTAAGGCCTGCTTCAGACGGGACGATTTCTCCCAGCAACTTGACATCACAACACCAGCAACACGGGCCACCCGCGTTCACACGCAGCAACCAATTGCTGTGATTTGCCTTCATCATTAAATTTTCTTTTTCTTTCACTATTTCAACACAGTTACACGCTCTAAACGTGTTCTTATACTTTTGAATGGCGTTAAGAGTACTAACTCATCATTCTGAAACGGTTAATTTCCAAAAACGTTCCATTTCAAACCAGAAGCAAGCCTTTAGTTATCATCATCACTGGCACGGTGTGTCACGTGAAAATATTGCGTTCCTGAGTGGCTGCTGCCACTTCAAACGTCTCAGAGTTGTCCAAGTTGCTCGTCTGTTTTGAGCTGGACGCCATACGACCAATTCGTGTCGTACTAGGGAAAGCTAAAGAACAACTCACCAGCAACACCGAAATTTCTGGGAAAGTTGCCCGTCTGAAGTGGGCCTAAAAGTTTCTATGCTCAATTTTCGAGATTTGTGTAGAATTTTTTTTATGGCACAGTCTTCGTATGCATCCTAGAAGTTCCAAAACTATGATCATGCATGGCTTTTTTCTAGTAGCTGCATTTCAAGTTTGTTTTGGTGCCAGCATTCCACGCCGAGAGAATTGGATGTGCGCCATAATGCAACCCAGTTGTGCATTGCTAAAGCAAGGAACGTGAGCGGACACCTTGCAAGTGAAGAATGGGTGTTTGTCTGCTATGAGCTGTCATTTGCAGACAAGAAGTGAGAAAGTACCTAGCTTGGTCTGCTAGGAATTCTGTCTCGCATGCAAGAGAATTGATTGAGGGCTTAGATTTTGGGCATGTCCTATTTCACGAAGGAAGCAATCAATGGCTTGTTCTTCCTTTGCAAATTTTGAGTCGTTTTGTTGCCATACGGGTGCTGAAATCTACTGCTGAGTAGGCTCAGGAAAACGCATCGGTGACCACAAGACTTCTCTCACCATCTGTTTAGGGGGTGAAAAGGTCACACCAATCAACTGTTTGATTGCGGACTTGTGAGCAGACAAAACATGCCTCATTTGTCCACAAAGGTGGTCCAGCAAAAAGCTGTGGCACTATGTCTCATCATGGTTCTGTAATTCAGTCATCCGCCGAGAAAGCTCTCAATCTCACCAGGGGCCAAAATCGAACTCAGGCGTATGCAGCCGACGATTCGAATCGAAAGCACCGATACCAGCAGATTAATTTTGAGCCATATTGTTTCAGTGGTTCACGCTTAAAATTGATCAAGCTTCTGTGCAAATAATATCAACAGTTTTCTCCAGTGTAAATAGTTACCAGGATTGGAAGCTGCTGTTGCCAGCTTGTGGCGGGAACTTATGCCCTCTGTAAATATCTCGATCACAGTCAAGTTCTTTGTGGTCGTTGCAAATGTAAACTATGCACTGCAGCAACTGCACTGTCGTGTTTCCGCCTGTCGTGTCACGCAGCAGATCGTTTGGTTTGATTTGTGGCTGGTGCTCTCATGACAGCTTTGGTGGCATTAGCATCAGGCTGCACTTGGCAAGTTTGTTTGAGATTGGTTCTTTGTGTGGCCCTCAGACGCATTCTGGGGCAAAACTTGTACGTTGCCAGTGCCATGTGAAACAAACTCTCTACCAGTAAAAAGAGTCACGTTATGCTGTGTGGTCGTGTTTTTGTATGGGGATGAAAGCCATGCTTGGTTTGTAATTTCGGGTTTTCTGGGATGCTTAGGGTGCACAGGCTGTGTTTGCACCAGGATGGTCTCAGTGCCCTTTTAAGGGTTCTAAAGAAGCCTATATTAGACCCAGGGATTTTGCTGGCTTGCTTCTGATCTCCTTGACTGGTTTGGTATGTAAACAGCCTCCAAGGTCTCAATTTTGTGTTTTAAGTCTGCTGTCCTCTGGCCCTGTAGGTAAAAAAGCATAGGAGAACTTCTTGAGCACCGTAGTCATGTTATGCACATTAGCGTAGGCTTTTGTTTTCCAATCTCAAATAATATTGTGCTGCACATTGAATACAGTGGAATCCCACTAGAACGAAGTTGACTGGGCACGCGAAAAAGAACTTCATTATCGTGAATTTGGCCAAAAACAATAATATATTGGTAATAATAATATATTAGTTGTGGTGACACATGAACATGCTTTAATGACAGGGCTAACTTGGTCTGGACTGCTTGCACTTATTTTAAAAAACCGCGGCATGATGTGATTTTTACTGTCAAACAGCAATTGCACTGTGATGTGGTCATGGGCAGTGACAAAATAATTTGCAAAGCGTCTATTACCTGGGACAGGAGAGCCGGGGTATTTAGAGTCCTGTGCAGCATCGTGTTAAAAATTTAAGGAATCGCAAACGCTTTCAATAATTTGTTTGTCAATCATCTCTTCCTGAGCGATCTCATCTTTTTTGGCAAAGAAGCCGACAGAGACGTGTCGAAACCGCCCGTGTCAGCTGCCCTTTTTTTTATTTGCCGTTTTGGTGATAATACACATTTTTGTCGTCAAGAGAAAGAGAACTCCTTATGTTTGCTGGTGAGAACAATCTGTTTCTGTCATTAACCACGCCAAATTGTTGTGCAAAATCGCGTGCCGGCTGGTACCGTCCATCATCCACACGCTGCACACTGTCAACACGCCATCTCGTGCAGATTTGGCTTGGCCCAGGTCAGACTCAAAACAGACTTTGTGCCGAGAATTAAGAGGCTTTGGAGCTCTCGAGAAACACTCTGCAACATTGTCATCGCCATCAAGCAATGCACGTTTTCCAATGTTTCGAGCCTCTGTGCCGCAGTTTGCATTAACTTCACCGGGTCAAAGTCAGTTGACATTTTTCCTAGAATGCCTGGTGCTCACTACACCATCAGCCCGCCCTATGGACACATGTGGCAGAACATTGGATGGACATTGCCCACGGTCGAAAGCAGTTCTATTGTGGTTTTTATGGCGAACGTAAAGTTTCCACATGAAGTGTCGATTGAAAAAGGTCCTTCCCTGTTGCCATGGGAGACGTGCCACTGGTGATGCTAGGATTGCTATCAACCTGTACCTGTTCACGTGTGGGCAACAGAAGGACTGTTTTTGAACAACGCTCTTCCGTAGAGAACTGAGAGTGCGTTAATGCACTGCAGTAGATGACAATGGGGGCTTGAGCTGCAGGAACCTAGGTATTCTGGCTTGAATAGCCACCCCTGCCCATTTTGATCTGGATGAGCATCGTACTGGCATCTGGTCATGTGTCACTTTTGCATGATGTGCGTTTGAGACCCCAGGGCTGCAGTCGGACTGCATTGCTTATATTTCTCATCCACCACATAAACCTGAGTTACCATACCTCCAAGGCAGACTGACCTTACCTAACTAAAAAGTTAGAAGCAATTTTCGGAAATTTCTGTAAAGAAACTGGTGGCCGAAGCCCACGAACGCTGGGAGTGTGTGCCATTTTCTCACTAGAAATTTCTGAAAATCATTTTTAATTTTATAGTTAGACTTAGTAGAATGGAGAATATGAAAAATTGGTATGAGTTCATTGTGAAAAGACAGTGTGAAAGAGACAAAGTCAAATAGAGGAGACTACACGGGACAAGCACTGACTAATAACTGTTTTTTTATTGCAATGTATAGATGGTGCTGTGATGGTGCAGGCACGTATCCCACTGTGGTTTGTTTTTTCACTCTACGGGCTAACCAAGATCCAGAAGTTGAATCTCACAAGTTTGGCTCACGCACGAGAGTATTGTTTGTTATGTAGTGCGCTTTTTTCATTTCCCTACACGTTTGGTCTTGGTGTTCTGACAGTACGGTAGTGTTGGACAACCGCGGTTTGCACCCGCAATCTCGACAGTGCATCACTTAATACGATTATGCGGTTCCTTTCAAGGACCTGTGGTGTCCTCCGAGTTGGATGTTCAATCATCGCCCCGTCTGTCCACTATAGGAGCACGCTTAGGAGAAAGGGATAAAGTGGACCGTGCCTTTTACGCAGGTGACGAACTTGATGTAGTGCTTGACGTTGCAGCTGTTACGACAATCCACTCGCTTAACCCTTTGCCTTTGTGTACTTTCACCACGGGGTATAACCGGCTTAGTTTGTTGCAGGAAAAAAAAAACCATGCTCGCTCCGTACCCAGATGCTACATTTTTAAGTCTATGTGAAATGTGGTGAGTAGATGAGACGACTGAAATCTTTTCCTTCTTCACCTCTTTCCCTGAGACTGCATACTCGCACTTAGCGATGCATTGTCTAGATTGCGCTTGCGAACCATGGTTCTCAGAGACCACCGTACTGTTTGAACACCAAGACCAAATGTCTAGAGAAATAAAAGAAGCATACGACATAGCGAAGCCAGACCTTTGTGTATGAGCCAACATTCATTGACTTTAACAAACAGTGAGATTCAATTTCTGAATCTTAACATGTGAAGTGAAAAAAAGAAAAAAAAGGAAGAAAGAAATGCAAAATTTACGGTGTGCCCTGTGCCTGTGCGATCAGTGTCACCTTATACATTCCAATAAAATGTAAGTTGCTGGTCAGCGCTCGTCCTGCGCAGTCCTCCCTTTTTGTCCTCGTCTCTTTTACGCTGTTTTTTCACAATTATAATTGGATGACGGTAAGTTGTAAAGCTTTTTGGCATCTGATCCCAACAGCTATATTTGGGCAGAGCCCGAGTTTTTGCTGTACAATGGACACTGTGAACCTTACTCGGAGACACCCATTTTTTTTTTCTTGCATGCTTTTCGCAACGTTTTTTCTTACGTGCATTGACTTTTTTAGTTTTAAATGTGGCTACGGAATGGTGCGCACATGTGGCAGAGCGGGCTGAGCTTCGGGTTTTGGCGTCTCATCCTTGTGCAATGTTTTGTGGTGCGTGGGCAAGGATGCAGAGGCACAAGCAGAGCGTGGCAAATCATAAATTCCGACGCCGGCGGACTTGAGGGAAGGAACGATGAAAGATCGGGAAAAGGAAAGATGATTAAAGGTCCCGCATGTTTGTTTCGGCATGAAGCATTAAAGGTCGGGCGTGTTTGTTTCGTCATGAAGCATTAACGTTGTTTGGTTGCTCGTCAACTTTAGTTTTCCTCACTAGCTTGACGGCTTCTGGCGTGCTCGATGTTCCTCTCAATGACTATGGAAAAAAAATTATACTAGTTGCTGTGAGGTTGAATGATAAGGCACTGTTTTGGATGCCTAGCCTTCAGCATGCGCTCATTGCCTTCCAGAGTGCTTCCGCTGCGCGGGCACGCACTATGCTCTTGAGATGCCGAAGTGGCATCAAAGGCGGAAAGCTCGCACTAAAGAGGAGACAACTGAAAGGGGCCTCTTTGCCATTCTTGTCCCATCGGCAACTATGGATACCAATGATAATGTAGCGATTGCGCAGGCGAGCTGGTGGATGTTAACCATTTTGTTCTTAGCCCAAGACTGGAGCATTTGTTCTTAGCCCGAGACTTAATCCTCGACTGTTCATTTTTCTTCTACTTTGAAACTTTCCTCCTTTCCTGCCCCAGTCTCGGGCTAAGAACAAAATGGTATGGATACCTTGCGAGTGACGTTTTGCTGTTTCTTGGCATTTATCGAAGGCGTGCTAGCAATCCATTCCCACTAGGACCACAGACGCTTTGCTCTCCAAGATGACCGAAAGGCATGGGAAAATGTTAGACCTTTTTCTCTCGCAGGTTAGTTCAGTGGCTTAGCCTGAAAGACGGCTTATGAAGCTTCAAACTCCCCCCCCCCCCCCAAAAAAAAAAGAAAAGAAAATCCTGCATTCCTGCATTGGACCAGGCAGAGGGCACTGGTCCGATGCTCATTGAAATTGTTGGAATAGAAGTTGGCAGGCATGGGCACCGAGCCACGATTCCTGTGCTATGCGGCGTAAGCTTTTGCTACACGTGCTTGGAGCTGCGGTGCTCCAACGTCACTGGCCAGGAGACAGAACGATATGGGATGTTCTAGCCAGTTTGTTTTTCCCAGAGCTTGACGTTTACTGAACACAAGGCCCGTGAACTCAATAGTCCTTTATTTTCAACTATTTTAGACTTTCTAAATAGCGCCAGGTCACCCCTTAGTTATAAGAAAAGTGTGAAAGAAATTTTATTTACGGATGAATAAAACAACGAAAAATATGTCCTAAACTTCTTGAATGATAAATGCATGTAATAGCACAAAAATGTTTTTTTTTTTTTTTTTTGACCTGTTGTAGCAAAATGTAATATTATAGATAATTGGCCCACCTGTGTTCGCACACCCCTGGTTGTTTGTTATTTGTCTTCTTTTGTGTTTGTTTTTTATTGTATAGCAGTGAAAGCATGTCACTCTTGTTTTGTTTTGCTACCGCTGTTGCCAAAAAGGGCGGCGTGGCCTCGTCAGGCACTTCAAAGTGCCTTTAGCCATGTCCCCCGAGACATTCTGTAAGTTCTTTCTCAAATAAACTTATACAAACAAACAAGTCATCTTTCTGAAGGAGGGGAGCACGATGTAACGTAAAATGTGTCGACAATAAACGGTTACATTGGTGGGACGTGAAAATTCGGATCTCTTCCAAAAGCTATCTGAGGAAAATGCGAGTTTGATCCGCTTTGGCCTTTGTGCCGAGCAAGTGCTGGACACACGGTTGGTGCATTCTGCATTTTTCACGCAGGACGGAAGGTGATGGAGAAATGCGAGCCCCAGCTGAACAAACGTGGCATTTGACTTTGTCGGCCGTGCACTGTGTCGTTGTTGTCCCTATGGGTGTAGTTCTGAAGTTGCTAGGGGCACAACCATTGAATCTCCTCCCAATTGTGTGCACTGCGTGCAGGCAAGAACCCCGAGGACCCGTACCTGGAGGGCATGATGAACGAGGCTCCCGGCCCCATCAACTTCACCATGTTCCTGACGCTGTTTGGGGACCGGCTGCAGGGCACCGACCCAGAGGACGTCATCAAGAACGCCTTTGCCTGCTTCGACGAGGACAATGTGGGCCGCATCCACGAGGAGCGCCTGCGGGAGCTGCTCACCAGCATGGGAGATCGCTTCACCGACGAGGACGTGAGAGACTTCCCACTCTGCCCTCGCCTCTCAGGCTGCGCATGCTGCTGAATGCAAGCATCTCTCCCTGCAACTGAAGTAGCTGGAAGGATTTTCTGGCGCCGTGACTGGTTTTGTGGGGAAGACATACACCTACAAGAACGCTCCGCGGCTACCATTTTCCGGTGCATTGTCAAGGCTAGCACAGCGTCCACAGTGCCACAACTCTGCACTGTCTTGCGTCTCGCTCGTTCTCGTGCGAAGAAGACGCCAAACAGAGCGAGATGCCCGCCTAAGAAAGTAGCTTCGAGACCGTTGGAGCACTGTGGAATGTGTGCCAGCCTTTTCTACGCGGCACAAAATGGTCTATGCCGAGATAGCGAATTGCTGCCTTAATTCCCTCCTCTCTTAGAGGGAATTTATATCCTCCCTTGAAATGTAAGTTCATATCTGGGGAATGTGGTGTTAAGCGAGAATCTAAGAAAACGACGGGTGAGGCTTTCGTTGACGAGCGGAATTGGCCAGAACGCCAGGTAGTTCTTAGGCCAGATTCTCAAAGCGAACTTACGACGAAAAAAATGCGTACGACAAATTTGAGAGAAAATCCGTATTCTCGAAACGAAATTGTCGTAACTTTTGCGCAGGTTACGACAAAATCCTACGACAGCTCCGAAGCTGTCTTACGCACTTTCTACGATCAAATTAACATGGCCGACAACGTCGCTCATTTGCTCGGTCGCGACGACCCAACGGACATTTATTTTTCTACCTGCTCTTCTTGCGCGTCCCGACTTCAAGCAGCAAGAAAAAAATGAAGAAGTACTTGAAACCGACCACGACGAACATGAACGCTGGATCCAGCCACCCGGAAAAGGCAACAAAGGCGACGATCCCACCGACCAAGCGAGCTCGGCAGAATATATAGGCCTAGCAGGCACTCCGACCCGTTGCGGCGCAGCATTGCTCGGACGGTCCTTGGCCAAGACCTTCTGCCCACGACCGGCTGGCTTGCTGAATGGAATATGCCCGCGCGACCCTTGTGGACCCTCCCCGTATGAATAGTTTGATAGCTGAACTAAATTTCAGAGGTCAACCGATTCCCCTTATCATCTCGATCACCTTGTTTTCCGAGACAGCGGTGACGAAAGCTGTCGTCGAAAAGGGACTCCTCGATTCCATCTCCTTGTTTTGTGTGATATAGAGCTCAAATAAACGCCGTATGGATTATCTTCGCAACACGGTATGTACACTTTATTATTAGTATGCCATTTTTAACTGTCGAGCTGTATCAGTTTGTGGGAGCTACGCGATGCCGGTCCAACCTTTCTTTGCCGAGTGTCACGTCAGTATCGAGTTGCAATCGTAGAAGATCGGTCCCGAAGCGCTTACCGAAACGCAGTCTGAATCCAGCACTTCGGTCAAACGCACGCGTCCGCTCCGAGTGTGAACAGGTATTTGCATGACTCTTGCTGACACTCTCGCAGTTCAAACGTATATTTTATAACGTCGGCTCACTCCTGCATTTCCGAGCACGCGAGAAACGCCCCGGCGGTTTGTTTCCTTCTACGTCGCTTTGCAAACGACTGGCACGGGGCTTTTACCAATGATGACAGTTGTGTTGACTTCGTAGCGGTCGAGTTTGTAGCGGTCAACGAAGCGTTTAAATCCTGTTAGCGTCGATATACCACTGCACGGACACGAACCCCAGACAAGCGGTGGTGGAAAGGTCGCCCGCGTTTATGAGAATCAGCTTGAACACTACACATTTACACACAGACAGGACAGGACATACACGGGGCTGTCTATCAACGAGTGGTTAGCCTGTGTTTGTTATTAAAAATCCACGTGCTCCGAACTATGCCTAGCTCTCTAATTGGTTGTTCGTTTTGCCGAAGACGCCGTTGCCATAGCAACAGCACCGGAAGTCATCGTTTCTCCGTAAGAGGTCGTAACTTTCCTCCTCTCACTTAAGATCGCGTTTGTGAATACCGTTCTCGCCTCATCTTACGATGATCGTAACTTTACGAACTTCGTAGCTAAGTTGTCGTAGGTAAGAGGTTTTTTATGAATCTGGCCTCTTGTCCTTGGAGCCGGTCACGTGGCCAGGAAATCTCTCTTGGGACCTTTCCAGCCGCTGGGAGGGATATCCGCATTGATAGGCAAACTGCTCCGGGAGTTCCCAAGAATGGAGGAGTTTACTGGGCGCCCTTGTGGCACTTAGATCCCCCGTTTTTTTTTATCCTCCCTGCCCCTAAGCGAGTTTTACAAGGTGGCGTGCCTTTAGTAGGACAACTACATATTTGTTTATGCAGGGGTGGAATCACTGCGCCATTGTGGGCCAATCCACTTTTGCTGTGCCATCCAGTGCCGACGTGCAAATGCTGCATCAAAATTAGCAAAAAGATTTTTTTTTATGTTAAATTTTATTTGAGTACTCTTTCCTGCTTTCCACAGTGGTTTACCGTGTTGTGCTCGTTTAGATAATTCTGAACCATGTTATGGAGCTACCATATCGATGTGGTTGTGTCGCCGTCAAAGCAGGTGACTCGTTTGATGAAAACAGGTGCCAAGCGTCTGTTTTCATCTTACAAGAATGACCATAATTTATTCTGGACCCGGTAAATAGATAGTGTTTCGTTTGATGGTCTCATTTTGATAAGCCATCAAGTGCCAGCAGAAGTCTGAGATCCATGCATGTTGGAGGTTTAAGTAGTTTGTTTTAAGGGGGGACGCAAGTTTTAAAACAGTAAAAAATCGCGAAAAAAACGTTTTTGAGAAAATTGGTTTTTTGAAGCCTTCATACTCTAAACTGCCTCTATGCAAAAGATCTATGCTGAAAACTATCTCAAAGCACGATAAAAACGACTTTATCATGAGCCGCGCTACTCCGGAGCGATGCACGAGCGTCGAAATGAGGCTGCACTTTGCGCAATCGCGATTCCGAAACTGCTCCACGAATTGCCGCCATTTTGATATCATTTGAAAGCTTGTTTCGCGCCCTTTCTTTTGCCACCACTGAAGATGACGTCAGCGCGGCGCAGCCGATGCTGTTGCCGTTTTGCCGCGGCACGATCTCGAGTCGCTCATTGGCTGAAGCGCACGCTCCCGGGAATGCGTCGCGGCTATTGGCTACTCTACCTCCGTTTCTTTCTCCTGGCGCTTTCCACCCGCACGCGCCGGTCTCCGTCGCGAGCTCTGTCGTCTGCTCTTGTGTCTCCGCATGGTTTTGTTTTTCTGCTATCGGAGCGTTCTTCAAGATCGTCAAGCTTTGTTTTTGTAGATGTCTTTCTCGTCGGAGTAAGTTTTTCTGTCGTTGTTGTTCACGCACTAGTGTACACGTTTTCTGCAAACTTTCTTTCCGCATTTCTGTCACGCTGCACGTCGCGAAACGTGGTTACTGCGAGGAGCTGTGCTTTGTTTGAGAGCCTCGCAAGCAGCATGCGCGGAGATCATCGCTTGAAGTTGCGGACCCGTCAAGCGTACGGCAAGAAGCGCAAACGTGCTTGGAACAAGGGAGTGAAGGAGCCGATCGACAGTGCGCTGCATTCGTCGGAGCTGCGTGGGGATGACCCCGTCGATGACCCCGTCGACACCAACCCCGTCACAGTCGATCTCGAAGCTACGCCAAGTACGTCGGGCTTCGATGGAAACCGGATTGACACCATTTACTAGACTGCGGAAGAGGAGTCCGAAGCTTTGAAAGAAGCTGAAGAAAAAAAGCGCCATTTGGCGTCGCAGTCTGCGAGTCGGCGGAAGTTCGACCTGCTCAACGTCGATTCGGAGAGAACTGAAATTGACGGCGGAACGGAGTTCATCATTGTGAGCATGCAAGTACTGAACAATTTTTTTTCGCGTACGAACTGCAAGGAGTGTGGTGCAAACACTGTGACCCTTGAGAAATATGGGTCCGACTACTGCTTGGTGCACAGACTGGTACTAGTGTGCTCAACGTGTGAGGTGCGTGAGCAGCGCTTTTCATCGCCAAGGGTGGCCGGCGCCAACAAGATCACACCTTTCGAGGTGAACATTAGGGCGATGCAGGCAATGCAAAGCATCGGGAAGGGGTCGGCTGCCCTCACCGACTTTTGGGCGTGCATGAATGTGTCTCACCGGGGCCTCCATCACAAAACTTTCAATGGCCATATGGACAAAATGTTGCAAGCTGCTGAGGCAGCTGCTGCAGCCAGTGAAAATGAAAGTGCTGCAGTAATCAGGAGTCTTTACAAAGACTTCCTGAACCCTCCAGGTAACATTGATGTTATCTTCGACGGGACCTGGGAAACTCGGGGCCATGACTCGCACATCGGTGTGGGATGCATAATTGAACTCTACACCGGCCTCGTGATTGACCACGAGGTGGTATCGAACTTTTGCTTGGGGTGCACGGTGGGGCCAAAGCCTGACAAGGAGAACTTTGAGGAGTGGCAAGAGAGGCACAAGTGCCAGAAGAACAGCGACTGTAAGGCAGGCCGGATGGAAGTTGAAGAAGCCCTAGCCATGTTTCGTCGGTCCCTCGCCAAGCATGAGCTGAGGTACACGACCATCCTGTCAGACAGTGACAGCCGTACCTTTCATGCCCTGACTGAGGAGGAAGTGTATGGCTATGTGACCGTGCAGAAGAAAGACTGCCTAAATCATGTACAAAAAAGGATGGGGACAGCTCTGCGCACTCTTGTGGAGAAAAAGAAGGCCTAAGGGAATCCCCTTGGAGGAAGAGGTCGGCTAACACAAGACAAAATGAAAAAAATAACCAACTATTATGGCTATGCCCTCAGAGGTCACGAACACGACGTGCCAGGAATGAAGAGGGCGGTGCAGGCTACGCTTCTGCACATGACCTCAACAGATTCTGCACCTGACAACAGCCTGTGCCCACAGGGTGCAGAGTCCTGGTGTGGCTTCAGCCGCGCCCTCTCCGAGGGCAAAAAGCCACCTGCGCACAGGAACAGCCTGCCGACTGACGTCCGTGTGGCTTTGGAGCCAATATTTGCCCGGCTGAGTGACGAATCCTTACTGCAGCGCTGCAGTGACGGAAAGACTCAGAATGCAAGCGAGTCTTTACATTCTGTGATTTGGAGCCTTTCACCGAAGACTCAGCATGCTTCCCTGTTCAGCGTGCGGAGGGCAGTGGCAGAGGCAGTTTCCCGGTACAATCAAGGCGTGATGAAGACGAACAAGATTGTCACAGAGTGTGTCGGCTTCGCTCCTGGACATTGCCTTACCCGCAGGAGTCACGAGAAGGACCAACATCGGCTTCACAGGGCCAACAAGGTCCACTCAGAGAGTGAGAAGACTGTGAGGAGACTGGCCAAGAGGCACACAAGGGACAAAGACCAGGACTACAGCCCTGAACTGCTTTGAGATCTCATAAGGTGTTCGTGAACTTCGGGTGCCTGTATCTCTGTTCGTGTTTTCTTGAATATAACCACCACCTTACGGGCTTTTTCTCAGGTTTGCCTTGGGCGGTCAAAACAATTTTGGTATCATTTGATTCAGGATGGATAGAGCTGTGCGGTGATGCTATTTTCCATTTATTATATGTTATGTAATGAACACAATTAATTATTCCTTGAAATTAATAGCAGGCCCATTTTGCAGCTTCTGAACATACATGTTTTTATGCATATGTCACCACTAATGTTGGTCTAAAATAGCATCACTGCACAAAGCACACCTTGGTGAACACATTTCTATAAAAATTTCTGAAACTTTATGAAAACTTTTGCACTAATGACCCGTAACAAAGGGCCTAATTACATTTGACAAATTTGTTATAATTCAAGTTCCACTAGAGCTATCCGAAATCTAATTACATATTTGAAATCAGCAAGAAAAACCATGCTTACATGGTGAATATGATGAAGATCCTAGCATAAATAAAAAAAAAATGACTCAAGAACCCACATGTCCCCTTAAAGGGGCCCTGCAATCATATTTAAGCGTTTTCCTTTTTTGTGGTTTCCACGTCTCTTAGGGTTCGGGCAAGCCAGCGGGCACGGAGGGAGTAACTAAATATCAGTGCATCATATTTTAACCCTTTAAGGGTTTATGACGACCTCAACTCGTCATGAGTGATTGCCACTTTTTTGCTTATGACGAGCTCACCACATCATGGGTACTTTGCTACTTTCTAAATGGCTGTTGACGAGCACAGCTCGTCAAGTAGCGTTTTCTGTTTAAAAACATAGATGGCAGCACCTTTTTTCATCCACGCTTTTCTTGAATGACAGTTTTCACACTAGATGGCAGCAGACGTTCCTTGTATGCTCTCCTTGTTTTTTGCGTCTCGCCCTGTTCGCATGAGATTTTCCCGCGCTTTCAAACAAACATGGCATCATCCGTGCGTCGTTCGAGTGCGGTTGATTGTCATCCGTCAGATGATAGCGAAAGTGATGAGGATGTTGACTTAGATTTTGATTCTTCAAGTGAAGAAGATAGTGACGACAGTCTCAACGACAGCGAGTCAGATGACGAAGAAAGTATTGATGAGATGATCGCCAGCTCCCGTGCGTGGTGTCACATAGACCTCAACAATATTCCAGCGAGACCTCCACGGTTTCAATTCAAGGGTTCATTGGGACTGACGTTCACAGTAAGCTCACCCCCACAGCCACTAGAGCTTTATGAGGCTTACTTCGATGATGAACTGCTTGATGTTATTGTAGTTGAGACAAACAGGTACGCATCTCAGTTGCTGAATTCAAGGAACCTGGGCAAGCATTCTCGCTTCCGAAAATGGTTCCCTGTTACGCGTGAAGAGTTGCGTGTTTGTTTTGGCCTCTTGATGCTGCAGGGCATTGTAAAGAAACCGAACGAAAGGCTGTACTGGTCGAAAAGCTGCCTGATTGAGACCCCTGCCTTTGGTGAGATAATGCCTGGGAACCGCTTCCAGCTCGTCATGAGAATGCTGCACTTCGTTGACAACACGACCATCCAGAACTTGGAAGGACACCCTCAACCTCTGCTCCGAAAAATCTGGCCACTGTATCAGGAGCTTGTGAAGAAGTACCGTACATTGTACGTGCCTGAGCGCAACATAAGTGTCGACGAAAGCTTGTTGCTTTTCAAGGGACGGCTCAGTTGGAAACAGTACATGCCTCTAAAAAGAGCAAGGTTCGGCATCAAGTCATTCCTGCTGTGCGAGTCGGAAAGCGGCTATATATGGAACTCTATAATATATACGGGAAAAGGCACCGACCTGGAGACCTTGTCAGTAGCAACAGAAAGCTTCGGAATGGCAACAAAAGTTGTAGTGAAGCTTGTGGAGCCTCTCTTGGACGAGGGCTACTGCATCACTACAGATAACTTTTACACGTCCCCAGAACTTGTTGATTTCCTGCTCAAAAGATCAACCAATGTTTATGGCACAACACGAGTGACACGCAAGATTCTTCCTCCTGGCCTAGCCACCACAAAGCTCAAGAAAGGCGATATGCTGGCCTTTCAAAGGGGCAAGTGTTTGCTGATACAGTGGAAGGACAAAAAGCTGGTAACGGTTTTATCCACTGTGCATAGTGCTGAAATGGTACCATTCATTGACAAAAGGGGCAACCAGCTCATGAAGCCTGAAGTTATCTTGGATTACAACCACACAATGGGTGGAGTGGACAGGGCAGACCAGATGCTGTCTAGCTACTCAGTGCCACGGAAGCGAAAGAAGATCTCGTACAAGAAGATCTTCCAGCACTTGTTGGATGAAGCGACATACAATTCATTTGTCCTCTATCAGAAAGAAGGAGGCCGAGCATCCCACATGGATTACCGGCTGCAACTTGTTGACGAGATCATCACCAAGTATTCAGGGAATGGCAGTGCCAAGAAAGGGCGGCCAGGATGTCCTCTGAACATGAAGCGGCTTACTGAGCACCACTTCCCGTCGCACATCCCGCCGACAGAGAAGAAGCGAGAAGTGACACGCCGCTGCATCGTCTGCTACATGAAGAGAGACAGCAAGGGCAAGAACGTCCACAAGGAAACTAGGATCTGGTGTAGGTGGTGCGAGAAGGCCTTGTGCGCAGTGCCGTGTTTTGAGCGCTACCACACCGTTGGTAGTCTCCAATAGTTGGGAGGGGATCAACGGAGGAAGTGTGCATTTTGTGTATTGGTATACATAACCAACCCTTTCTTTCCGGAGGTCAAGCAACCCTTTCTTTCCGGAGGTCAAGCAATGGACAATACATAACGGCCAATAAACATTATTATCTGCTGAAAAACGTTTGCAAAGGTGTTTTCGTCTTTTAGACATGTTATTGAAGCATTTCACGCCATAAAAAAATTGAGCCATTTTGGTGCATTTTCTTTTTTTTTATTGAGCCCTTAAAGGGTTAACCGGACGACGCGGAAACCTCCACCGACGGGGGCGACCTACGTTACCGAAAGCGCGAAATGTGACGTCTTTGGTCCTAGGCTTACTACTGGTCAGAGCCGCTAAAAGCTTCTTTTTAGTCGAAATACAAAATATAAGAGGCGCGAACCGTTTCAATTATTCATAAAAGTAGTTTTTGTTCAGTATTTTAGACCATAAAAAAAGAACAAATGCAGTTTATAAAGTACGGAAACAAGCAAAAACCCGTCGACATACCCGCCACCAAGCGGTGAAAAAGGCGGCGCATACTAGAAAGGAGTAGTGGGCGTTCCGAAGGCCTTCAGCGTTTCGAAGGCCTTCAGCGAGTAGTTTTGTCTTGCGTTTTGGCCATTTCGCGGTACGGCAGCGTTTTGGCCAGTGAAGTGTCATGCCGAATTAGTGTTTAATAGCGCAGCAAATGCAATGAGAGCCGCTCTGGCTGCTCGCTGTATACAGCTTATCCAGAACACGCTTTAGTGGCGCCCTCTTGCGCCGTCGACACGGAGTGCGGCAGCCGTGAGCGCTCGCTGAGCTCACTATCTCTCCTCTAGTTCACGGCCACTCAAGCAACCAAGGATGTCATGAGGGAGGTTCTTTTTTGCTTGTTTTTGTAATTTTAATTTGCCTATAACTTTTAAAATAAAGCGAAATTCAAGGAAAGAAAAGTTACATTAAGTTACTACGGTCAGTGCGCTCAGGTTTGGTGCAAATTAAAAACAAGTAAAAAAGTGCTTGCAGGGCCCCTTTAACGGGGAATACGGCCCCGAAATTTCATTTCTTTCCGAAAAAATGCATTTTCAAAAAAATATTATATTTGGGTTCACTATGTTCTGAAGCATAGTTTCAGAAAGTTTTATTTATAAATGCGCAGTATTTATTTCGAAAAAAATTATTTTCGGCAAGCTCGCGGTCGCGCGCGGCGACCCGCCGAGCGAGCAGACGGCGAAGTTCGGCATTTTCAAATTAGGCCTACTCCGCGCTCGTTCGACGCAGCCGAGATATCTTACCCTCGTTGGAAGCGCTGTTTCTTCTAGTTTCTGCCCATAGAAGCCTGCTACGTTTGAGGCTATCTGTGTCCCGGGAGAACCCCGTACATACAAGCAGAAAAAACGTGGGAACTATGATACCAGCAATCCCATTGGTTGTGACCCGAAACAGGGCTCACGATTGGCCGCCTGCGTGCGCTATCGGCAGCTTCTTTCGCTTCTGATCGTATCGCTAGTTCGCCGCTGTTTAGATTCGTTTTCCCTCTTTGTTCCTGGTAGTTTTTCTACCGAGAAATGCCTGCTTCCAAAGTTAGCACTCGCAGTAGCTTTGGCCGGCGTTCTCAACGGCGGAAACAAAGGGCCGGCGGAGACGGAGACCCGTCTCCGCCGGCACCATCGTCGCCGTCTCCGCCGCCGTCGTCACGATCTCCAAGCTCAACTGGTGCTTGGCGGACATCGGAGCCTACAGCTTCATCTCCGAATCGGATGTGCTGACCACGTTCGAGAGGAAGCTCAGCCTGCACAATTTCGACGCGGGGATTACGGACGACCCGGAGCTGACAGACGCTCCCGTTGAAAAGCCCCCGAACGGCTCCTCAATGTGTCCGCCATGCAGACTCTTGTTGCGATTTTACTCTGCCTCAAGTGCCACGGAAAACTACAGAGCTTGCAAGAAGAAATTGGCATCAACCTTCAGTTTGTTGTTAGCTGCTCGACTTGCGGAGACATCGTCGCGACACCACGCTCACCATCGGTCGGCAAGTTTCGAGATAACGAACTCGCGGTACGTCTAGGCGTCGTTGGAAGAGACTGTGGCATCAGTTTCACAAAGCTCACGAATCTCTTTGGGGGGCCTCAACGCACTGCCCTCCTCATGCTCATGTAGTTGAAGGTGCCACCAATGACTCGGGTAAATTTCGAGTTTCTGGCATCGTCCGAAAATAATAAAAAAAACAAGTTGAAACTTGAAACGCATTTTTCTCAGTTTCACTTTTTGGCAGGAATTCTTGTTTTAGGAAAGCTATCGTTTGACATTCTGAATACAGAGGGACATTATTCAAGGTTTTCTGGGACTGAAATTTTCTGGGGAACAAGATAGACTACTTCACAGTTCAAAAAATCTACTCCTTCATAAAAAAAAAAAAAAAATGTTTGAAACAAAAATTTTACATTTTCTTTTTAAATTTTGGGATGTTCTTATTTTTGTTATAATTGAATATTTTGTGATTTATTTTTTATCTAGGTTGCACTGTGGGTATTGTTCTTCACATTAAAGCAAAAAGTTTGCCACCAGCTAATTTTATTTTTCTACGATAGACTTCCTAATGAAGTGTCTTTTTTCTGAAGTGCGGGAGACGTAGCATACTGTAAAGTTGACCAATAATGCTGAAACTTTGCAGACTATCCTTCCTCATAGTGCTGAAATAACCCTCAAAATTTGAACCAAATTGGGTGAAGGGTTCAAAAGTTGACCCTCCCAGGCCATATCCCCCCTTAAACGCGAGGAAAAACTAATGGTTTTATTGTTCAGAAATGTACCGTATTTGGACGAATATGAACAACACGCAATAAAAGTTGTGTTGATTTATGTTCTCCATATACCAGTGCCTCCGAAGCACTGGTATATGGGGGTAGCTAGTCTACAAAATTAAACGAGCATTTGAAATATTTTTTTGCGCATTTAGGGCGTTTGCTTTTTTCTGAGACCGCTTCCACGCACCTCATTTGTCTAGCAAGCGTAGCAATAAAAGCGATAATTCAATTGTCTTGTAAACTGGGGGGGGTGGGGGGGGTATCTATAATCAACTAACAAAGTTAAATGAAGCATGGGCTGGTTATCCTGCTTGGCAGCGTCAATGGATGTGGAGCACACTTCGAGGAGGTGGAATCGCTGGAAACGTCTTAAATTATGTGGGATTAGATATATTGGGTTTGAGTGCAAGACTCAGCAACTTCGTCTAGGTCATCAAATGTTCATGGAGCCGCTTTGTCTCGCAATGTTTTGGACACTAAAACGGCGCCATTTACCTTCAGATATTTGTGAATATTTGTTTTCTCAAGCTTCGTGGGATTGAGTGTTTTTTTCCTAGGCGTAAATGGTGCTTTCATTTCATCAGTTGTGACGTGGATGCAACATAAATGTTTTTTGGTCTCGAAGCAAAACGTTAGTTGCAGCAGTGGAACCGCTACAACTTTGCATTGCCGCCAGTGCGAAGGTGATGGTGGCCGTGTTGTGGAATTTTGCGGGCATCATCATTACCCACTGTATTCCGAAGGAAACGCACACTCTCTCGCACCCGGCAGTTTCTAACTTTCATTCAGTCATGGTCCGTTTTGCTTTAAGGTGGGACGCGGGTCTTAAAATGTAAAAAAATCGCGAAAAATTCCTTTTTTCAAAACTCACGATTTTGAGGTCTACATAGTCCAGAGTATGTCCTCACAAAATATAAATGCTCAATTCGATCTCTAAATATGAAACTAATGACAATTTGTAAGCGTTGACAGACCTGACTTCAAGCCTAAACTCTAAAACTTCAAGCCGTCGGAGCTCCGCAACGGCTCATCCGATTGGAGTCATCTTGGTCTTGTTCGAAAGCTGGTTTCCCGCGCTTATTTTTCCCGCGCTCCAAGGCGGTGTACCCCTCAAGGCCACGACGTCATCGATGCCGCACAAAAGGCCGTCACCAGTGCTAGGAAAGACGCTGATTGGGCAAAGCGCGCACTTCTCCGAGGCGCAGCTCTCTCATTGGCCGAAACGCGCGCCTCCTCTCCTGGCTCCCCCGGCGCGTCGTCCCGGTCGCTCCGCAAGCCCCCGCGTCGTCTGCTTTCGCTCGCTCCGCTGTTCGAGGCGCACGCTGTCCTTCGCATTTCTCCACTTTCTATATCAATATTTTCAGTGTTTTTCTTGTGCTTCCTAGTGTTCTTGTATGTTCCCTGTCTTCTTCGCATCGTTCATGTAAATATTTTGATACCTCCACTTTGTTTAGCTTTCCCTTTTTGGTATATTTTTGCCCTCCTGCGTGGTAGTTCTTTGTTTCGTTCTGCCTGCGTGCTTTGAGTTCGCTTCGAGTTCTGATAGCTGGGGACGCCCGTTTGAAGGCCAGCGCACAGAGACTAAACACAAAGAGGAAACGTGCCTGGAACAAGAAGACCTTGGCATTGAGGAAAACGACACCTTCGACTTCGCCGATGCCGCAAGCCATGCCGCAAGCCGCTCTACCGTTGGTGGACGCGACTGGACCAAGTTTGTGTTCGACAGCTTCGCCAATGCCTCAAGCCGCTTTTCCGCTCGTGGGCGTGGCTGGACCAAGTTCGTCTAGGGATCGAATCGACACTGTGTTCTACACGGAGGAGGAGTGCGTGGAGCGCGAACAACGTGCGGACGACAGAAAGGCTTCGTTGGCAGATCAGTCGGCGACTTCACGGAAGTTTGAGCTCCTCGACGTCTGCGTGGAGAGTGACGACAGCAACCGCGGCACGGAGTACGTCATCGTGGACATGACAGTGCTACAAGAACTTTTTGCGTCCACGGCATGCGGAATGGCTACCGTAGGACTTTCGAAGTGCAAAGAGGCAATACGGCCTGGCAGTGAAGTTGGTCCTTACGTGTTCGAGCTGCGATTTCGCTGAGAGTTGATTTTCTTCTCCACGAGTCGTCGGGGAAGCCAAGATTACGCCCTTCGAGATCAACTTGAGGGCGATGAAGGGAATACAGAGCATAGGAAAGGGGGCGACTGCGCTTGCAGACTTCTGTGCAACCTTGAACCTCTCTCACCGAGGGCTTCATCATAAGACGTTCAGGGGACACATGGACACCATGGTGCAGGCTTGCCAGGCAGCAGCAACAGCCACAGAAGCAGCGAGTGTTGAGGTGGTGAAGGACGTCTACGAGAGCTTCCTCAATCCTCCCGGAAACGTAGATATAATTTTTGACGGCACATGGAAGACGCGCGGACACAACTCCAACATCGCAGTGGGGTGCATCCTCGAGCTGTACACTGGCCTGGTGCTGGACCACGTTGTCCTCTCAAGGTACTGCCGTGGCTTCGAGGGTGCACCTGACCCAGATGATGACAGCTATGGGGACTGGGTGATTAACCACAAGTGCATGAAGAACATTGACTGCAACGCAGGACGTATGGAAACTGAGGCAGCCCTCATTCTGTTCAGGCGGTCCCTGGCGAAGAATGGACTGCGCTACACCACCATCCTTTCTGATGGTGACAGCCGCACCTTCCATGCCCTGACACAAGACAGCGTCTATGTATACCTCGACATTGAGAAAAAAAGACTGCCTGAACCATGTACACAAGCAGATGGGAGCAGCTCTTCGTACCCTGGTGGAGAAGAAGGCACAGGGAGAGTCGCTCGGAGGAAAGGGAAAGCTGACCCAGGACAAGATAAAAAAAAAAATAACAAACTACTATGGGTACGCCTTGAGAAGCCACAAGCATGATGTGCCAGGGATGGAAAGGGCAGTGCAAGCAACTTTGTTGCACATGACGTCGACAGATGAAGCCCCGGACCACAGTCACTGTCCCGAGGGGGACAGTTCCTGGTGCTCCTACAACCGGGCACTGGCCAACCACGAGGAGTCACCACAACACAAGAACCCACTGCCAGGCTTCATTCGCACTGCGCTGGAGCCAGTCTTTGAGAGGCTGGGCGACCGGGCACTCCTGAAGCGCTGCAGTGATGACATGACGCAGAACGCCATAGAGTGCCTACACTCTGTGATCTGGGGCCAGAACTCTAAGAACACACATGACTCTCTGCTGTCAGTGGAGAGGGCTGTCGCTGAAGCCGTGTCACGCTTCAACCAGGGAATGGCCAAGATGAGCAAGGCTGTAGCAGCACAGCTTGGCTAGAGCACAGGTAGCTGCCTGATTCGCAGGAGTCTCGAGAAGGACAGGCGGAGGCTTCGCAAGGCCAGCAAGGCTCACTCTGAGAGTGAAAAGGTGAAGAGGATGGCCAAGAGACACAAGCCTGCCAGGACCCAGGACTACAGCCCAGGTCTGCTATGACCATGTGTGCACATCGGATACTACTGAACTGATTTCGTGGTTTCATGTTGTTTTTTTTGTCAGGTACCATTTTTCTACGGAGGTTTTGATTATGTTTCCGTAAGCCGATTGCAATAAATTTGGTGTTGTTTTCAGCAACAACTGAACTGCACCCTAAAGCTTTTCTTTTTTCTCTAGACTTGATATATAAAAGTGCCAACATCGGAGAAACTTGAGTGTGATTTTCTCAGCTTTGTCTTTTTTTGTCTAGAGCCGTTGCCTTACGGAAGTTTTCATAATGTTTGCATGGGCGGATTTCAGTAAGCTTGGTATCATTGTTTGCAGTAACAACTGAGGTGTATCCTAAAGCTTTTCTTTTTCGTCTAGAATCAATAGATCAAAAGTAATTAGCTAAAACGTGGATTATCTAGTGACAAGTTTTTGCTTTGAAATTCCACGATTTATTTTTGGTAGACAAAATGGCTTTATAAGCATTCAATTAGCTTTAGGATATATGGTGAACACTTGGAAATCACTGCATATTGTTAAAGTATAAATTTTTTGATGTGAAATTACCATAACGACCCGTAAGAAATTACCTTATTGGAATTTTATATTTTGCATATCTTTTGTTCTAAAAGAGATATCTGAAATTCAACTGCAGATTTGAAATCAACATCCAGTGATACATATGCATGCCAACTTTCAGCAAGGTATCTCGATAAATAAAAAAAACATATTTAAGTACCCTAGTCCCACCTTAAGTCGGTCCTCAGCCGACGCCATGGTCCTTATCTTTTTGCTTTTGCTATTACCATCTAAACCAATTGCATAGTGAGTATGTGTGCCTCGTTGCAGCGTTCAGTGTAGGGATGGCCCCACATGCCATTTTTTCTCAGCCTTTTGTGCACACCATCTTTATTTGAGTTGCATCACGATTTGACTTTGCACCTTCCATTTTGATTTTATCAACTTCAAAACCTTTTTGTCTTGCTGCAGGTTGACGAGATGTTCCGGGAGGCGCCGATTGACAAGAACGGCATGTTCAACTACCTGGAGTTCACGCGCATCCTCAAGCATGGGGCTAAAGAGAACGACGACCAGTGAAACAAAATCGGTTTGGGACCAGAGCTTGAAACAGATTTTTGTACTTCCTTTTGTTATGAAATAAACGTACCGTGCCACTCGAGGGATGCGTTCATCCCAAAAAGAAATCACGGCATTCTTTTGAATCTGGTCATCATGTGATCGGCCAATTGGATTACTTCCACAATCACAAGCCCTGACAGCCACGAATATCCAAAGCATGTCTACGAATGGTCCAAATACTAAAGATCATTTTGCAATATTTGTAAGGTATCCCCGAATGTTCAGCAATTACTTTTTAGAGAATTTCAATTTGGAATACCTCCACCTGATCTCTTTTGTCAAGATGCTTTTCTTGTATTTAGTCGAGTAAATGTGTAGATGTTGCATAATTTTCTGCCTGTGTATTTTTCTTTGTTTTTGAGAGCCGTGTGCCTCGCACTATTTGTTAGAATTTCAGAAGGTTTCCATGCCTACTCGGAAGATTGAAATTGCTCCTCATATTCATTTTTTTTGTTTTTTTTATACAAAACTATTATTTCTGTATACAAATAAATAAATAAATAAATATATATATATATATATAGCCAAGTTATCATGAACGCAACACAGTGGTGTGTGGTAGAGTCAGTTCGGTCAGGTCACCGTGTTGCAAGAACCACTGTGGGCTGAAAGCTGAAACAGCCAAGGCAAGTATGCGGGGGAAAGAAGATAGTGGGTGCAAGAATAGCGGGAAAGGCGAAAAGCAAGAGGAAAATTCTGGAGCAACCAGCTGAGGGAAACTACAGGTTTTCCCGCTCATTTTAATCCAAGCGACGACCAATTTAATCCCGGGGTCACTCAATTTAATCTAAGCGCCACTCAATTTAATCCCGGGGTCAGTCAATTTAATCCACAATATATTTATGCACTTATTGTGTTCAGTGGTCGTGTTTTGCTTACACATTTGGTAACTTACAATTGTTTATACAATTTGAAATTTTGGGGGAGCAATTGATAATTTGTTCACTAATGTAATTACTTTGAGTTACTAGTGCCACTATTGACGAGGCTTAATTGATATCTTGGTTACTCTTTTTACAGCGCAGCTCTTAGGCACCCATTTCCGGCTTAAGCAGCGTTGCCGACGCCGTCGGCGTAACCACGCGGTGCATGATGGGCAAATTCCCCCGCTAAATCTAGCGGAAAATTTCCCCGCTAAATCTAGCAGAAAATTTTCTCTGCTAAATCTAGTGGAACATTTTTACTGCTAAATCTAGCGGAACATTTTCCCCGCTAAATTTAGCGGAAAATTTTCTTCGGTAAATTTAGCGGAAAATTCCCCCGCTAAATTTAGTGGAAAATCTTCCCAGCTAGATTTAGCGGAAAATTTGTCCCGCTAAGCCTAGCGGAAAATTTTCCCCCTAAATATAGCGGAAAATGTTCACCGCTATATTCAGCGGAAAATTTTCCCCGCTAAATCTAGCGGAATGTTTTCCCTGCTAAATCTAGCAGAACATTTGTCCCGCTAAATTTAGCGGAAAATTTTCTCCGCTAAATCTAGCGGAAAATCCTCCCAGCTAGATTTAGCGGAAAATTTACCCCGCTAAGCTTAGTGGAAATTTTCCCCCGCTATATCTAGCGTAAAACTTTCCCCGCTAAATTTAGCGGAAAAAGTTCACGCTAGATTTAGTGGAGAAAATTTGTAGTGCCAAGCGCGACACTTATTGTGGAGGCTCACGCAACGTCTGGAGCTAATAGGGTACTTTCGTAGATCGTTTCTGCTGTCCCACAACGCTCTCCCCAACCAGCTACGCTAGCCGGAACTGTACAGTCAAGGCCATCGGCGCGCCGGCGTAGTAGCGGCTTCTCCGTTCTGGAGGGCTTAGCGGAGGGGGAAACGCGGCCTACGAAAACTCCCTATTGACGTTTTAAGCGTGCGGCACGAGCAGCACCGATGGGACCGAGCTCCGGGCTCGAACGGAACGGCACGAGACTGGCAGCGTTCGACGGTGCAGCAGGGCGGTCTCGGAGGAGCCCCCTTTTGATGATCTTTTTCAGTTTTATTGCGGTTGTAAAGATTAGTTTATTAATTTGCATCGACGGACGTCTTTCCTGAACCCCACAATTTTTCCACTAAATTTAGCGGGGAAAATATTCCTCTAGATTTAGTGGGGAAAATTTTAAGCTAAATTTAGTAGGAAAAATTTTCCGCTAAATTTAGCGGGGAAAATTTTCCGCTAGATTTAGCGGGAAAACTTTTCCGCTAAATTTAGCGGGGAAACTTTTCCGGTAGATTTAGCGTGAAAAATTTTCCACTAGATTTAGCCGGGAAATTTTTTCGCTAAATTTAGCGAGGAAAATTTTCCGCTAAATTTAACAGGGAAAATTTTCCGCTAGATTTAGCGGGACAAAAATTTCCGCTAAATTTAGCGGGGAAAATTTTCTGCTATATTTAGCGGGGAAAATGTTCCACTAGACTTGGCAGAAAAACATTTCGCTAGATTTAACAGGGAAAATATTCCGCTAAATAGAAGGGGAATTTAGCGGGAAAATTTTCCGCTAAATTTAGCGGAGAAAATTTTCCACTAGATTAAGCGGGAAAACTTTTCCGCTAGACTTTGCGGGGCAAATTTTCTCCTAAATCTAGCTGGGAAATTTTTCCGCTAGATTTAGCGGGGAATATTTTTCGCTAGATTTAGCGGGGAAACTTTTCCGCTAGACTTTGCGGGGCATTTTCGCTAAATCTAGCTGGGAAAATTTTCCGCTAGATTTAGCGAGGAAAATTTTCCGCTAGATTTAGCGGGGAAAACTTTCCGCTAGATAGACCGGGAAAAAGTTTTCCGCTAAATGTAGTGGAAAAATTTTACACTAGATTTAGCGGGGAAAATTTTCCGCTAGACTTAGCGGGAAAAATTGTCCGTTAAATCTAGCTGGGAAATTCTTCCGCTAGATTTAGCGGGAAAATTTTCTGCTAGGCGTAGCGGGAAAAATTTTCCACTAGATTTAGCGGGAAACTTTTCCGCTAGACTTTGCGGGGCAAAGTTTTCGCTAAATCTAGCTGGGAAAATTTTCCGCTAGATTTAGCGGGGAAAACTTTACGCTAGATTTAGCGAGAAAAATTTTGCGCTAAATTTAGTGGGGAAAATTTTACGCTAGATTTAGCGGGGAAAATTTTCCGCAAGACTTAGCGGGGAATCTTTTCCGCTAAATCTAGCTGGTAACTTGTTCTGCTAGATTCAGCGGGGAAAATTTTCCGCAGGATTTAGCGGGAAAAATTTTCCACTAGATATAGCGGGGAAACTTCCGCTAGGCTTTGCGGGGCAAATTTTTCGCTAAATTTAGCTGGGAAAATATTCCGCTAGATTTAGCGGGGAAACCTTTCCGCTAGGTTTAGCGGTAAAAAAATTCCGCTAAATATAGCAGGAAACTTTTACACTAAAATGAGCGGGGAAAATTTCCCGCTAGACTCTGCGGGGCAAATTTTTCGCTAAATTTAGCTGGGAAAATTTTTCGCTAGATTTAGCAGGGAAAGTTTTCCGCTAAATTTAGCTGGGAAATTTTTCCGCTAAATTTAGTGGGGGAATTCACCCATCATTCACCGGTGTGGATACGCCGACGGCGACGACGACGCCGACGCCGCTTGAGCCGGAAACGGGTGCCTAAGAGCTGCGCTCTAAAAAGAGTAACCAACATATTAATTAAGCCTCGTCAATAGTGGGACTAGTAACTCAAAGTAATCACATTAGTGATCAAATTCTCGATTGCCCCCCAAAATTTCACATTGTATAAACCAGTGTGTCGAACCGAAAAAAAAAATACGGGTTCGGTTACGGTTCAGGTTCAGGTAAATTTATTTTGTTCCGGTTCAGTTCCGGTTCGATTAATTCGATCCGCGAACCGGTTCGCGAACCGGTTCGGAAATTATAAATGACAAATTGTAACATCAAAATAAATTACAGATAAAACATCTGAAATCAGCACATACGAAACGCGATACATCGTAGTGTAAGGCTCAGGGATTTCTACCAGGAATGGTTTCTTTATGTGCACTCAAAGGTTACCTCACCGACGTTTACGCATTCGGCATCTAATTGGGTCCGACGCAGTAGCTGTAAAATCCGCGACCTCCTTACAAACCCACTTACAAGTAGAACTCGCGAACTATCCCGCCACCTCGGCGTGTAAGCAATTGAAGGAACAGTGGGGAGAAAATACAGCTTTTTTTATTTGAACTAGCCTTCGGTAACTCAAATTAGACCCTTAAAGAAGCTTTCATTAAACAACCTACGGAATATGAAAAACACTTCACCGAACGCAACGCCAGAAGGACGTAATAGGATAAATATTAATATAGAAGGGTTCGCTGTCTCAGAAATATGTTATCTTCTAAGTGCCTATACGAAACCGGATGCATTATTATCAAACTCCACAGCCTTTTCTTTTCTCATTCCGATGGAAGCAAGCTTCAAAAACTCGCGCGTTCTAGAAACGTACGAAATGAGCACACAGCAGCATTTAGGATTTACGAGATTGTAAAAAAATGAAATCCCAGGACGCGATTTTTTTTTTTTTTTTGCACAGCCTTCCATTTTTTTTTTCCGTGCAAGCCGCGACCAGCGCAATACTGGTTCCTATGTCAAGATTCATGACTGCAGCGTTTGTCAAGATTCATGGATGCAGCGTTTATATTCCTAAGACTGAGTGGAGAAGAAAAATATGTAAGCGAGGTGTGTGTCAGTTGACGGCACTTCAAAAACAAATGGCATTGATAGCACATCCATTGTCAACAGCGCGTGGCCGAACCGTCTTGACATGAGCCGGTAACCGTTATTTTTTTCCGGTTCAGTTCCGGTTCGGGTTCATCGCGATAACAATATAACGGTTCGGGTTCGGGTTCAGTTCCGGAAAAAAATACCGGTTCGGTTCGGTTCCGGTTCGACACCCTGGTATAAACAATTGTTCTAAGTTACCAAATGTGTAAGCGAAACACGACCACTGAACACAATAATTGCATATATATATATTGTGGATTAAATTGACTGACCCCGGAATTAAATTGTGCAGCGCTTGGATTAAATTGTATGGCGCTTGGATTAAATTGAGTGACCCCGGGATTAAATTGGTCGTCGCTTGGATTAAAATGAGCGGGAAAACCTGTAGACTA